AAAAGTCGCAAGTCGTAGACTTGGTCGTAAGACCAGTTTTAAGAGCTTCGACCGTTTAAAAAAGATTTGAGACTCGCAACTTACGATCAAAGTTGCGATTGCTTAAAGGGTTTTTATCACGTTTCAAAATTTTTTGATATGACAAAGTTTACATGCTATTAAAATCATGTATTTAAAAATCTTTGCTAGAAAATTAATATTTTTGATGTTTCAGCGATTCAAAGTTTGAATTTCTCATTATGCATATTTTGATCGCCGATGTTACGCGCCATTGCTCTGACGTCATAGGTGTCAATCCTGGTCAGGCGAAGTACTTATTGTGTATACAAAAGGGCTCATCTGTTGTGTCTATTAAACCTGTTGGAAAATAATTAAGTGATAATTGAATAATTGACAACTTGTGAGGTATAATTTATGGCTTTATGGTGCACAAATATGCACAAGAAAGGTTTTAGGAAGAATTTTTTCCCCCACATTTTCTGGACTTGGTCGAGAGATGAAAGGGGGGCCTTTCTCTGCAAATGCGATGACGTTTATCTCCATTCAGAACAATCGTTTATGCCCGATCGATCACGATTTTTTTTCTGTCCTATAAAACATTTTAAGGAAAGATACTTTTTTAAAAAAATAATAAATGACAAACACGCATTTTTTAAAAGTTGCACAGATTCTAGTAGGAATGTTGTGAACTTCGTAATGGCGTACGGCGCCATTGAAGAAGTGTCATTTCTAGTATATGATATTCACTGCTAGAACAGATAGAAGATATACAGGATTTATTTATCTATAATTAATTAAAATGATAATGAAGGAGAATTTAAAATTCCCATATTTATAAATGTTTATACGAAGTTAAACTTTAGTAATTCGTTCTATTTAGTTGAAGTCCCGAGTTGTCAACGGCTTCGTCTTCGGTGACCTCTCTCCAATTATCGGCATATTTTCGGGTTATTTCTCTCTGCTAGACGTTCAAACCTAAAAGATTGACCGTCCATAACCAAAGGAATATAGTCTATGTCAAAATTTCAACCGGCCATACTGTGCATTCTATTCATTTAGCGTAAAAATCTATTCCATATCTTTTTTCTTACGATAAGCTTTACTAGTTCTATTGACCATTGACACCTATGACGTTTCAGTACCACGTGACCCCTATCTAATTAGTGGAGATTTTTACTTCGAGGACCCTATATTACCGGCGTTTTATCGTCTAATTACGGCCGTTTTCAACATTATTTCATAATTAAACGATAATTATATGTTTCAGAATATAATAGTGTTTCATTTTTAAGAAATTTAGATACGTGATAAAAACCCTTTAAGGGTTGTCTTAAGTCGTACGAATTGTTGCAAGTCCCAAAAAGTTTTGCTGTTGCTATGGTAAATAATATCTTTTTAAAAACATGGCGTTATTTATTATTAACTAGTGCGAGGACAATAAAAATGTTCAAAGAAAGCCTCCTGTGTTCCGTGTAGAACAAATCCGCTAGACTGCATCGACGAGGGCATTTATCTCCAGCTAGGACCAGTTAACATTCCTTGCCATTTCGGAAAATTGTCGTCTGCACGTCAACGACGTCGGGTTTCCCGCAGTATAAGGACATTTTTACAGCTAATCGTAAAAGATTTCCACTACGACTTACGACGTCAAACTAAGAATTGGGATTTGCGACTTAATGTTACGAGACGTTTCGTAAAACGGTCCCACGATTTCTCGTAAGTTCGGCAAAATTTACGACTTAGGACTTGCGATTTGCGACTTTTTACAATTTTACAGTTAACTAAAGTTTTAGGTCTTAGTCGTAAGTTCTTTTGTAAAACGGGCCCCAGGACTCCATTGACGACCAGCTAGACCAGGACTTCAACGACAACCAGTCAGACAAGGATACAAACACCACATACCACCGACCATTTCAGGACACTAGGCCTAACCCTACAGACGACTACCCGGATCACATCAACACCGTTATCAACAATCCCATCATCCGCACCATGAACGATGATGATTACCAATCGCGCAAGCACCAGGGTTTGGATTCAGAGAATAAGGTATTTCACATAATGGTGTGTTTTCGGGTCCATATTTATTTATATTCACATTAACTGAATATTGAACGAAATTACGCGGGTTGTGTATTCATTCCGAATAGTTGCACGTATAACTTCCCACATTTACAAAGAAAGCATTTAATCGTTTGAAAATTCTGATAAACTTGTTCATTTCATTACTGAAATTCATTTTCAGATCGTCGAAGTCCGGGGGTCAATTTGGACCTTTCGCAATGTCCATGGACTTGCACATACCAAAAGCACAACTAAACGAGACATTTAAGTACATACCCAGGAATTTGCAAGCGACTCGGAGGATGACACCATGAAAAAGTAACTCATTTCTTTAATATCTTCAACAATTGTAATTATATTAAACAAGTGTAAATTTTAGAGGAGGAGAGCTGTCACGGTTCCAAAATTTTTCGGGTCGGGTTGGTTTTTTTCTGGTCGGTTATTTACATCTATTTTAAACCTTAATTTCATTAACTAAACTTGAAAAATCTTTATTTTTTACATTGAATTCACCTTGAAAACAAGTCTTAACCATGTCAACGTCTTGACCTCGGTGTTTAGGACTACTAGGCCGACTATAAGCTACAACATGACCACTCTTGTTCGTTTTGATAATTATCCCATCCTTTCGTGACAAGTATTTTGTAAAAGTTTCTCATATATAAACCAGACCCGAACCGAAATCCGGAAAAATAGAACCGAACCGAACAACTTGGACGGCGGTTTTCGATTATTTCGGGGAACCCCTAGGGACAGCCCTATAGAGGAGATATGTTTATTTGTAATTATATAAGGGAATCATGGAGAAAATAAGTAAAACATAATTGCATACTTCATAACAGTATTCCCGAGTGGTCACAGATACAGATGCAACAGTGATTAAAATATGTGCAAAGATGGGAGTTTCCATCGCCCCGGAAGACATCAATCACACACATCCGATTGGAAGATTTTGTTTGTTTGTATGTTGTTTAACGTCCCTCTCGAGAATTTTTCACTCATATGGAGACGCCACAACTTGCCGGTGGAGAGCTGCAAATTTTGTCCTAGACTCGGCACTTACGGCCATTGAGCAACGAGGGATCTTTTTCGTGCCAGCACCTACTGCGACACGGGACCTCGGTTTATACGTCTCATCCGTCCCACAGTGAGATTCGAACCCGCGACATGAGGATCAACTCCGTACGCCGCGACTCTAGAGCGAACGCTCTAACCACTGCGCCACGCGGGCGACTCCGATTTGAAGACGAAATCGAAATAATAAAATGCAAATTATCTTCAAATTCATAAGCTGGAAGATCAAAAACAAAGTGTACAGTGCCAAAAAACAAGAGGCCCAAAGGCCTTGAATCGCTCTTCCGATAAACTCTACAACCTGTACAACCTATCACTTCTATTTGAAGCCTCTAAGTATCCTGTACATTTAGATAAATCCTTGAAATTCCAAAGGTAGGTCATAATGACCTACATTTTAGATGAAACACTCTGAGAACCCAATACGATTCTAAGCCAATTAGTACCTGAGAGTTGGTCATAATGACCTACTTATCACTTGTCATTCTCTGAGGATCCAAGATGCATCAACTAAGTTTGATGATTCTAAGCCAATTAATACCTAAAATATTTTTAAAATTATAACCATAAAATTTCAAAAGTAGGTCACAGTGAGCTACTTCTCAGATGACATACTCTGAGGACCCAAGATGTATCAACTGATAAAGTTTGATGATTCTAAGACAATAAGTACCTGATATATTTAAATAAAGCCATAAAATATCAAAATGAGGTTCCAGTGACCTCCTTTTCAGTCGACTAACTCTGCAGACCCAAGATGCATCAACTGATAAAGTTTGATGATTCTAAACCAATTAGTACCTGAAATATATAATTAAAGCCATAAATTTTCAAAAGTAGGTCACAGTGACCTACCTTTCAGTCGAACTACTCCGAAGACCCAAGATGCATCAACTGACAATGTTTGATGATTCTCAGCCAATTAGTACCCAAAATATTTAATTATAGCCATATAAATTAAAAAGTAGATCACGGTGACCTACTTTTCAGTCGACCTACTGTGAGGACCCATGATATATCAACTGACAAATTTTGATGATTCTAATCCAAAGAGTACCTGAAAATATTAAATACAGCCATAAACTTTCAAAAGTAGGTCAAGGTGACCTACTTTTCAGTTGTCGTACTCCATAGACCCAAGATGCATCAACTGACAAAGTTTGATGATTCTAAGCCAATTAGTACCTGAATATTTAATTATAGTCATATAAATTGAAAAGTAGGTCACGGTGACCTACTTTTCAGTTGACCTTTTTTGAGGACCCAAGATGCATCAACTTAAAAAGTTTTATGATCATAGGCCTTAAAATGTCCAAATTATGCCTCTGAAACGCTTTGAAATCGAATGCCTGCAAAGTTCAAAAAGTAGGTCACTGTGACCTACTTTAATTTTTTTTACATATGTTTTATGACCCCAATATGCATCATCTTGCAAGATTTCATGATTCTAAACCTCTCGGTATTTGAATTAATGACCTTAATTGTTTTGAAAAAGATTAGCCATAAAATTCAAAAAGAAGGTCAAGGTGACCTACTTTTTAGTGGACGTACTCCGGGGACCCAAGATACATCAACTGACCAAGTTTGATGATCATAGGCCTTAAAGGACTTATTGCATACTTTCAAAATCTTTCAAATTAGATCAATTTTAACTTCTTTGTATCAAGAATAATTAAATCGGTTCATTTTGGTGCCGCTAATTAGCGGATATTTAGCAAATTAGTAGGTTTAATTATACCCCTCCGCTCGATCGATCTCCAGTTAATTAGGTAGGGTGTCACGTGGTACCGTGACGTCATAGGAGCCCTTTTGATAAGCTAATTCTATACAGTAAGAGATAGATACTGTCAAAATTTATTGCAATGGACAACGAATATACCGATATTGATGATATTCCTGGTAATATTAACATTCAACCCTACATGTTTGAGCCACCTCCACGTCCGAATGTCCAGGAAAGCAGCGAGGAAAGCGATTATGGCGATGAGCATGATCATGGACATCGCCGACTAAACACTTTTTGGTCAGTATTAAAGTAGCATCGTTAATTTATTTTATAGTTTTCATGACAATTTTGCATTTTTAGTTAATCTACAAATATTTTATCTTATTTAACACAACGAAACTAGTTTATATATCGCTTAATTCAACAGTAAATGATCCGATATCTAAGAACTGTTGTAAAACTTGCGCACAAGATGTCTTATCCTTGGTTTTCAATTTAACACATATTCTTTCTTATTTTTAAACATTTAAAACAATATAAAATTAATGTCTCATTTATTTTTGATAAATGTATAAGATCATACCAAAATTGCTAGCGATTTTGCTCCCCTTCAAATTGGGGATGGAGGGGGGGGGGGTCAATGAATGGTACAGTGTTAGATGTCATACCAAGTTTTTAATTTCAAGTTTGAATCAAGTTTTGGGAAAAAGTATGGCTTTTTGCAAATCACTGCAAATTCTAAATTTTATTTTCATTGCTTAGGTGCGAGTGTGGATCCTGTCAGCAAATGGGGACAATAACTGAATGTGTCTGTTGTGTGGAGCTGCCAGCCATAAACACTAGTTTTCGGGAGTCAAGTGACCTAGAATGCATCACTCATCATCAGACATTCATAGACAATTATTTAAATGTCAGAGTCCTTGAAGTTAGCCTTCACGACTACATTCAGAGAGAAGGGCCCCTAGATGACAACGAACCAATTCATGAGTAAGAAAATAAGAAACTTTATATTCAATCTTTAATCAAGATAGTATTGAAATCATTATCATGAATAATTAATTGATGAAATATTTACAGCAACATTATTTAAAATCATAACAATAACAAATGATAAATACTTCATATCAATAACTTATCAATAACAGTAAACAAAAACAGGAACAAATAAAATTCAACATATATACATCTAAACAAATTATAATAGAGCATTTATTTTTTTTTCAGAGTTTATCGACATATCGCCTGTCGACGATTTGTGCTATGGATATGGCACAGACTTGGAAAGGGCAATCGAAAAGTTCTTCCGGCATGTGTGGTTTCCAGGATAAGACACACGTTCCCATTTGAGACCTACGTTGGATTTCAGTACCCTCGCCCCGATTCCTAACGCTGTCGAGCAAATCTGGTACGGCGGGTGGTAACCAACTCTTGCTTGTCAACTGCAGTGTACGCTGATGTTAGGGATGGTGGCTGATATCCAAGGATGGCCTTTCCATCTGCTGTGGCTGCAGGGTATGATGGAAGTTGCAACCGTCGTTCCACAAGGCTCAGCCGCAAGAAGTCCACATAGTCTGTGAAAAGTGACGAGAAGATGACTATATTTTCAGTATGCAAATCATTCAAAACGTGTTCATTTTATAATCTTATATGTATATATTTTTAAATGATTTTCAAGTTTCTGTTTTAATTTTCAAGTATAATGCCTCTAGGAGCAAATGAAATTAAATTTTATACATAGAGTTATGTGTTTACATTGCTTTGAAAGCTTAAAATTTATGTCCTTACTTTAGTTTACAATGTGTCTTACCATAAGTAATGGGAGTCTTGTGTGGCTTGACAACAGCATGTTCCCCCTTTTTTCCTTTGTGATAGCTAAGCTGCCAAGCTGCCACTGTAACTCCCCAGCCCTGGTCACAGCTTGATGACGCTGTCCATTCCCGTTAAGATGTAGAGCTGCCACACGTTAAGATGTAGAGCTGCCACACTCAGTCTGTACAGAGTAAAAAGATATGTTGATTACTATTAAATGAATTTACTGCATTGAGAATGTATGAAATAAAAAGTGAACCTCAAATACTGCATGGAAATGATATGTTTGCTCGGCAATTTTAGGAAACGTTTTAAAATTACCTGGCCAACATTGCAGGGTAGAAAAAATGTGTCGTCTTGGGTGCAAAGCTGTTCACAACACTGTGAAAAAACCTCCAGGCCATGTCTCTCTGGCGTTTCAGAAAAGCGCCTCTTGGCTTTCTTGACGGGAGGGAAATGGTGGCATTTTCGTCCGGGGACTTCTGAAGGATAAGAGGGTTGTCCGGAACTGCATCGTCTCGCAGGCGAATTCTGGCTCCTAAGTATCCGATCTCCTTTAGTTTTTCTGGGTCTCTATCTAGCTGGGACTTCGAAAAGTGCAGGGAACACAGGCGGTTTTTCTCTGTAGGCATAAAGTTCTCACGGCGACAGTAAATTGTCCAGGTCTTTCTTCTATCCGCATCCTTAGGAATTCTGAAAAAGCTCAGGCCGGATTCCTTCCTCTGTCTACTGTTACACCCAAAGGCGGCACAAAAAGGCATTATCACACTATTATCGATTGCTTTCACTAATCTGATAATTGGTTTTTAACGGTTGTTTGCGGATAAGATAACAAGATGGCCGATGGCTATTTTCACCTCCTCGATCGAAAGGGCTCCTCTGACGTCACAGGCAATGGCGCGGAAAATCGTAAGAAAAATATGCATATCGCGGAATTTGAATTTCGTTGTCTATAATCTTGCAAAATAAGCTTTGTTTCAATTTTAAATTATTTTGATTTTATTATATAACATACATAGAAGTCATTTTCACTCATAATTTTTAAACTCTACGTGCATGCGATAAGTCCTTTAAATTATTCAAAATATGCCTCTAAATCATTTTGAAAAATTTTAAAATTACGTCACCGTGACCTACTTTTGAGTCAACATGATATGAGGTCCTTAGATGCATCACCTGACAAGATTTGATGATCCTAGTCCTTATAGTAAGCAAAATATCAACATTTTAATAAAATGTAATTTTTGGTCAAATTTGAAGTGACCTTGAGACCATGCCCTTTGCCCCAGGGTAATGCCTTGAACAATTTTTAATCTACAACATATCCTCATTCTTTTAAGTAAGTTTGGTGATAATCTGCCCAGTGGTTCTTGAGAAGAAGATCTTTTATCAACCAGTACTTTTGTTTCTATTTTCCTAATTATCTCCCCTTGTTTAGGGGTCACAACCTAGTTTTAGTATAAAAGGGAACCCTTGGGCCAAGGATGCCCTGTGACAAATTTGACAATAATTGGCCAAGGGTTTCTTGAGTCATGGCCCATATTCTAGAAAGTTTACGCACACCGCACAAATGGCCATAGCATTAGCTCTTTGAGCCTTTGGCTCAGAAGAGCTAAAAATCAACTCAAATACAACGTAGATGAAATTTTTGTCACAGATCTCACTAAGTATAGACAAACAATCGTGTCGAAAATTATCCAAGCCAAAAATGCCAGTTATACATTATCAATGAACAATGCGTTTGAGCTTGCATATCAGGATTTAGAATTTAGGTATAGCTGCTTAGAGACAGACACATTATTTTGATAAAGGGTTTAAAGCCCAGATGGTTTGAACCAGGCGAATGGGTTTGGAGATGGTACATGTATTTCCCAGCAATGTCAAATAAATTAGGTCAGGTTTGGACGGGTCCATACTTCATCATTTAGAAAATTTCAGATGTTACCTATGAAATACAGTTAAACTCAGAAAGTACCCCAATAACTGTCCATGTGGATCATTTAAAACTATTTCAAGGGAGACAACATCCAGTCAATTGGTTGAAAGGACAGGAAAACCAAACTTCTGATGGAATCTTGAGCGAAACGGCCATTGAACCACTTACAAATAGTCCTTTGCAACCTGATCAAAGATCTCCTGTTAAAACAAGAGCTAGGAGAACAATTAAACCCAGAGAGATCTACTCCCCGTAACATTCAGATTTTTTTCAGATATTAAGTGATTTATTCTAAATTATCTGTTATTTGGAAGTTAAATATTTTCCAAAATATTATCTGCAATATTTTGTAATTTCAAATTTGTGTTATTTACTTTTGAAGATTGTTTATCTACTATTTCATGGCAGTATAAAAGTTAATTAATTAAAACTGCTGGACTGTTGGCACTCTATTCCTACACTTTGATATTACCGTGACATAATTGATTTATTTTATTTTAAAAATGAAATCTAATATTTGTTGTACAATTAATTTGATAGATGTACTGGATATTCCAGCTACTGAGGAAGAAATGGAGGAATTAGACCGAATATATTCGCCCCTTGTGGCAGGAGGGTGGAGTGGTATGTACGGCCCAGGCATGCGATACATTCCTCAAAACCATGAAGGAAAAAACAAGGACACAATGGAGACAGGTTCATGAACCTGACGTATGCATCTTCACTTGCCCCGTCTGCCGGTTTGGCAGTTCGAGAAAAAATCAGGTGAGCCGACATATTCGTTCCATGCATCAGGAGGAGACCCGATCGGTACCTAAAGAAAAATGGGTACGTAACATCAAGTTTCGGGATGCCGGGAAGGGAATGATGCCCCTGGCACCTTAAGTGCTGCCAGAACAGAATTTCGATTACAGGAGGCAAATGGAGGAGAGAAGGAGCCAGGAATTTGAGTAAATCGCTAGAGAGAGTAGAAACAGTTTCGCGGGATTAAGAGGAACGGCCATGTTGGGAAGAAAACGTCATTATCACCAACAGACTGTGGGGAAAGTCCAGTAAACCTCAAGTAAGCCATATAGACTTGAGTGAATTTGAACAGTAAATGAGTGAAAATTTAACATCATCATATTCATTATTATTTAAAATGTACTGAATATTATTTTATGATGTTTAGAAGTTAAAATATATTTTAACTTCTTCCTTACTATAATTTAAAATTCCTGCTATGATTTATATTATTTGAAATAAATGATTGTATCATTTATACTAAGGAGGGGAGTGTAGCAGGAATGAATTTTGTTGTATACATTTATGCCTTGTATTTTTAAATTAAATATTATGTTATGTACATGCATATATTTGTATGCCAGGAAGTTAACCTTTTGGGTGTTACTAATACCAGTAAAAGTTCATACCCTTGAGGTGTATTCAATAGCTTTTAAGATTCTATTGTTTCCAAAGAGTATATAAACCCGTGTTACTGTTAGACACGTGAGGAAACTTGGAAAGCATTAATTTCCTGTAAGTTTTCTCACTTTAATAAAGGTTTATTAGGTATTTAACAGGTTGCATCCCTAAAAGTTATGTGAAGTTATTAGGCATTTTGACTAAGTTGTCGTCGTATATTGCGCCTGTTAAATTTATTAGGCCATAAGTCTAAAAGTTAGGTTTTAGGATATTCCTATATAAATTAGGGTTTTTCTAGATTTCCCTAGACCTTTTCCCCAGGCTAGGTTGGGCTAGCGTTTCTGTACGCTTGGTTGGGGTGATTTTTACTAAGTTATGTGTTAGGATTTTTCTACAAGGCAGGAATTTACAATTTATTTTTTATGCTATTTTTCTTTGTCTATACATATGTTAATGAATTTTGTTATTTGTTGAAGCTGGTGTTTTCATTACAATTGACATGAGGTGTAGAAATGAGGTACAAGTAACTTCGGAAATAAGACCAAGCAGAATCTCAAAATAAGAACCTAGGAAATAATAAACATGAAAATATAGGAGAGTGTTCAGAAAATATTCTAGAACCACTTGATAAAAATGGTGTTCTAAGGTTTACTCCTATTAGAGAAAGTTTCGATTTGTCATCACGTATAAAGTATACAAATACTACTGGAATAAATGTAATTGTATTTGAAGGTATTAACGACCCTCTATACACTGCACACTAAAGAGTAGTTTTAAGCAGTTAGAGTGATCTGCACCTCGATATAAATTTGAATAAATTGAAATACTCTATATGTAATCAATTCAAACATTTATAACATTTTATTAAGCTTAGATAAATTAATTGAACACTTTATTTGCATATATTTTCTTTATTTAAAAAAGCAATCGTGTTTTGTGTTCATCAACACAATGGTGTCTTTGAAATTTTTTCCTGAAGGTAAGTGGCAGGTTCCGTATGTTGAAAATGAATTAGATAGGCACAGTATTTACACCTTTATTTGAAATAATTTTCTCAATGTCTAAAAAACATTTTCATCAGTGTATGGAGGGTCCTTAACAAAAAAATACTGTGCATGGAGTTTCTGCAACCTTTAGAACGCGAATGTACACTCTCTTTGGTTCACCGGGAGAAATACTCAAGGTACATGAAATCGATTTCAAGGGAATAATTGATTTATATTTATCGCCTAATTTAA